GAGGCCCAGTTGAAGATTAGATGTTCTTCCTGCTCTGGATCCTGAGCTTCTCTCCAGACTGCCCCTCAGGGAGACTGCAGAAGCAGAGGCAGCTGCTGGGCAGCTCCTTCCCCCTCAGGAGGGCGTCACCGGACCTCCGCTGTCTGCCTTCTGACTCGACTGCGCGTCTCCACCCTCCACCCTCCTCCGTGCGCAGTTCAAGAGCTGCTCTGGATGAGACAGGTAAGGAGGGCTGTGGGCACAGAACTTGTCCTCACACAAGGCAAGGCCCTGGGGCCACCTCAGCAGGGCCGGAGCCCTTAGCGCCCCTTCTCTTCTTCTTCCAGAGTCACCTCTTCCACACACCGCCCGCGTCGCGCCGGCTCTGTTCTCCCTGGAGCTGGGTCACTGACGTGGAGGAAGGAGTTTGCAGGTAGGGAAGAGATGAAGAGTCAGAACTGCATTTTCTCACAACTTGGAGTTGTAGTGTTAACGTGCAGTGATGGAGAGGGAGGGAGATGGAGAGAGAGAGACAGACAGACAGACAGACCGACAGACAGACTGACCGACTAAGACATAACCCAGCCTGGAATACTGTTTGCTGAAACTTAAAGTTTTGCCAAAGATATGTCAAGGCGGCGGCGGCAGCGGCGGGAGCAGCCACGACCACGACCGAAGCTGAAGCCGTGGCGGCGGCCGGAGCAGACGCGGCCCTCGTGGAGCAGCAGCAAGGTCCGCGGCCGCTCGCAGAGCTGCGGAGGGGCGGACGGGCAAGACAGGGCAGCTGCGCCACGGGTGGCCTCGTGCCTCTCTGCGTGCAGGAGCAGATCCAGAAGAGAAGTGAGACTGAGCCGGAGAGCTAGGTTGCTTCCGCAGGGAAGACTCCCTTCCCCGTGCTTCAGGCTGCTGAGCACTGAGCATCGCTCAGAATGGAAGCCATTGCCAAATACGCCTTCAAAGCGACTGCAGACGATGAGCTGAGCTTCAAAAAGGGGGACATCCTCAAGGTTTTGAACGAAGAGTGTGATCAGAACTGGTACAAGGCAGAGCTCAATGGCAAGGACGGCTTCATCCCCAAGAACTACATAGAGATGAAACCGCACCCGTGGTTTTTTGGCAAAATTCCCAGTGCCAAGGCAGAAGACACGCTTAGCAAACAGCGGCATGATGGGGCCTTTCTAATCCGGGAGAGTGAGAGCACTCCTGGGGATTTCTCCCTGTCTGTCAAGTTCAGAAATGATGTGCAGCACTTCAGGGTGCTCCGCGACGGAGCTGGGAAGTACTTCCTCTGGGTGGTGAAGTTCAATTCCCTGAATGAGCTGGTAGATTCCCACAGATCAACATGCGTGTCCAGTAACCAGCAGATATTACTGCGGGACATAGAACAGGTGCCACAGCAGCCAACATATGTCCAGGCCCTCTTTGACTTTGACCCCCAAGAGGATGGTGAGCTGGGCTTCCGCCGGGGAGACTTCATCCACGTCATGGATAACTCAGACCCCAACTGGTGGAAGGGGGCTTGCCAGGGCAGACAGGCATGTTTCCCCGCCACTAAGTCACCCCTGTGAACTGGAACGTCTAAGAAGCAGAGTATTTAAAGAAAGCGAAAAATTGAAAACACACAAAAGAATTACACGCACAAGCTGCCTCTAACAGCAGCCTGTCGGGAGCTCTGAACATCTGGCTGGTCACACTGGTGACCGTCTCACTTTTGTTGGAACTTTGGGGGTGGGAGGGGTTGGACATCAGAATTCCAACATTTACCTATTGAGTTGTTTTTATTACAGCTTCTCCACACTGCTCCCATTTCCTTCCTGTGTCCTTTTTCTCATCTTTTTCTCCTGTCCTTCAGTGCATGACATTTAAGGCCACATATAGTCCCAGCTGATGTCAATAATAAAAGAAAAAAACCCAAGCGGGCTGGTATTTTCTCTATGCAAAATGTCTGCTTTAGTGGAAATGACTGAGAACAGCTGTCTCCTGTTTCTCATGTATACACACAGAGGGAGCGGGCCAGGGGCCTGGGCGCCTCTGCAGGAGGAGGACGCCGTGCTCGAACCTGCGCCTCCACCCGCTTCAGTCCCCTCCAGATGTTGTTTTTTCTTTTTTTTTTTTTATTTAAAATTTTATTTATTTGTGTGTGTGTGTGTGTGTGTGTGTGGCCAGCTCAGCCCACCAGGGGGCGGGCTGGCTGGCCTGTGGTGCTGGGGGATC